ATTTGTACTAGACAGGGACTCGGAGTATGGATTTACCAGTGGTCGGAGTTTTTTGAATTTTCTTGGATAACTACTGACTGCAGCACTTATATCCACCTCGTGGATTAAAGCCCGAGAATGCTCTACCATTTGTTAGTCATAAATGTTACCTATTGATTTTTCAAAAAAAAGAAAATTTTAGAAAGTGTCGCAGAACTTTCTTGCCAACCTAATATATGGCTTCTTACTGTCTCATGTCTGTCGTCATCGCTTTCAAAAAACGATTCGTTTAGGTACGATTTGATCCCGAGCTAAAGCGTATCGTCTATGAACCTACTGAGCTGGCTCAAGAATTCCGCAAATTCGACTTGGAAACACCATGGGAATCACTACCCGCTTTCCGCGAATCATCAATAACTAGTGGATATGAGAAGATCAACCTAAACGAAGAACCACAACCTGCAAAATAGTGTAGTTCAAAGTTTTGTTACTGTATAGTAAATAGATAATCTTGTAGTAGTGTAGAAATAAACACTCAAAAATTTATGCTAGGTTTTCACATCACAGTTAATCAGGTCCAATGAAAATGAACAAAAGAAACAACACATGTATAACGGAATATCAGATATGATTGTAAGATATACAATTTAGGGAATGAGTTATAGCATCCTGGATTTAGTCAATGGAATGATCTTTGGTGAGTAGATCACAGCTTGATTAATTATGACTTTGTGTAACGTAGCATAATGAGGTGAGGCAAATGAGGTAAACATGATAAAGTGAGGTAAACAGCGAAATCCGTCCGTATAATTCTTACATATATCTAGAGTTCAAATGGCTCGTCTAGCAAAGGCGCTGGTTCCCGATAAGCTTCAGAGTGCATTGTACGACCACTCAACTCCAACAAAGCTACAGCTTCTGGGTCCTAAATTATCATTCGACCATTACAACCATAATAGTGCGCAGATATAAACTATTGGAAAAACCGACCACCTTATCAATTATCGACTTTTCACTTCGTTTGATCTCGTCTCCAAAGGGCATAGGAGGTTTGTCACCTACACGCCAGACTTCCAGATTGCTGCAATTGGGAACTTGTGATAACTGAATCAACGACAAGAGCGGTAAGATTGCGCGTGTATTGAGAGCAGTGCCGAAGAATCGGCGAACGCACGGAACGGACTAGATGCGCATTGATCAAGTTGATGTCCTTTCAAGAAATTTATGACCAGGAAAATTGAAGAAGAATAAATACGTAATGATTAAGTTATTCAGGCCCACTGAGTGGACTGAGAGGAAAAGCAAAACGCTCAGCCAGGATTCCGCAGGGGATACCATTTCATGCATAAACTTTGCTTACAAGGGAACTTCGGCTACACCAACCTCCCCCCTCGTTAGTCCCGCGCAGTCGCAGGGTCCGCCGGCTACAGTAAAACCCTCTTCAACAGTAGAGCTAAATGGGATACATATTCAAATATATGTGCACGCGCACATTCAAAAAATAAAAAGAATAGAGCTTACGCGTCCATCAATTCTTCCCTGGACTGCGTCATGCACTCTACTTCCATTCAAAATAGTAGTGGCGTTTGAATGCGATGTGGCCTATACAATGACTTGCGGGGGCCAGCCGATGTACAAGTCAGTGTTTTTTTATCCTCCCAGACAAGTCTGGTACCAATTAACCGACCCCGGAGGGATGGAAGGCTTGGTTGGCCCGGGCGACTCACGACCCAGGATCTGGTTGGCGGTTATTGTGGTAAACTAGCGCCGCTCACCACTACAGCACTTTCTCAAGACATTTGCATATGCGATATGTATTTATTCCATTGTCACAACTCCACATAATACAACCATCCCCCACCGCACGAACTCCCGCCCCCCCCCACTTTAAACCATTTAAGCACATCTCACTCGGCAATCTGCATGATGCAGCGCGTGCGCTTCACCTATTTTGACGCTGACCATAACCTGACGTAATTGCCGAATGAGTCCTTGAATTTCCCGCGAAGGAGAGGTTGACCAAGCCCACAACTATATTTAAGCATACCCTCGTAAGCTTCATTACTTGAACGACTAGTATCACCTTATTTCGAAATGATCAGATCCAGCAAGGTGGCACTTCTCAAAAGAGCTAATATTGGCCATAGAAGTTCCCGTTCCATAGTCCTCATCAATGAAAAATGGCCACACCGTCTCGTGACCTCCCATACCCTGAAAAAAAAAAGAGCTCATGGAATGTCTTCGGTGTATGAAAAAAAAATTAAGAAAATAAAATACCTACCAAACCATTTGGTAAGCTAACTTGTTGAACATTGAGATAAGCATAGTCATTGGTCATTCCAGTGGCAGAAAATATTCGTAATTGAGGTTTCACCTCGAATAAGAATGAGGTCGCGTCCCCATGGTAATTTGGTCCCATAAGGAAACCTGAGCAGAATGTCAAGTCAAGTCATATAAAAGATTTTAAACAGATATAAAGTTACCTTCGGAAGCAAAACAACCAAAAATACTGCCGTTAGATGAGTTGACAACGACGATGCATGGACCTTCTTCATTGATTCGTTTAGTCATTTGGGAGAAACTCGACCCATGAAGCGAGCTGTAAAAACCAAGGTGTCATAATTCGATCTAAGCATGGTTTTCGCTTAGCTGGTATAGATCAGGGCTATAGAGCTATCAGCTGGCCCATTTGGTATGGGATATAATAACACGACCGAAATCAAAAAAAAAATTCACAAAGCATGAAAATATAGAAGAGTCAGCCAGTTGGCAAGTCGAATCAGCTGTTGCGCGTCAATGCAAAAAATTTCCGTACTATCGGAACCGTACTGCAGTGTCGAGGACTGTGTGAACATTTGCACTTCATCCTCGCAGAATGTGACAACAAAAGATGTCGCCATAATGTATGCTAGCTATGTTCATTCGTCATGATTCTAGTTCGGAGTGTGAGTGAGATGAATTAGAACAATGGTTTCAAAGTTCCAATCGTCATTCCTCATTAATAAAAGCATGACAGCGTAGCACTAGGTAGAAACTATGGCGTACGCGAGCAAATCAGTGATCTCCCACAAGCGTATATATCACATCAAGGGACGGTAGTGTTTGAAGCAACATAGCACGTTCTACCCCTCCCACAGGTGCAACCTTCAGCCATCACAAACAAAATGCTCCATTTTCCACTCAATGAAATATAATGCTTCAAGTGAATGAAATGGGCGAAAAACTCTGAATCAGTCGTTCTTAAGCGAAGACATTAGGTTGTTGGGAAAGGTTTGCGCATCTACATATTTCTTCATGTTTCGGGACCTTTGGGGGTCGCTTTGAAACATTCACTGTAAAACGTATGTGAACGATGGTCAATGCTCGCTTCATAGCGTTTCAATTGCTCGCTTCATAGCATTTCGCAGCCATTATAGCTGAAAAAATTGTCTTCAAGTGGAAGCATGTTCGACAGCTCCGTTCATATGCAGCGCTTCAATGAAAGCGGTACAGCTACAAGCTTGTGTTGCGATAGTCCGCCAGAAGTGCCAAAATTTCGTTGTTGATGTCCAGAAACTTGAGAAAAAACAACAAATCTGGTCAGCCTGCCACACTGAGACAAGTGCCTTGTGAAGCTGGTCGGAAAGAGTCTAAAATGCAATGCACGAGAACTGGCAGAGCTTCACTAGTGTCGTCAAAGCACAATTGAAGCTTCTTAACATCGCTTCCTAAAGCAAAGTCAGAGTAGAACAAAGGATTGCAACGCCGATTCCACTACTGCGTCCTGAGCAACTGTCGAAGCTGGTGAAACTGAAAACGTTTCGTTCACTATCCGTTGAGCGTGAATGGAGCATCCATCAGCAACCTGTCCATAATGATGGAGCACATATTTCTTGGTTGTGAGCTAAGAAGAAAAATTAATTTCAAAAAAAATTGAAATACGCGCCGACTTTTCCGAAATTCATATTTATCGGTTATTACATTTCACATTCATTATTTGATCTTTCTGCTTTGTCTTTAGCCTTGCGCTCGGCATGATATACTATAGTGAAGTTAGTACCTCACCTGGAGAAAAGTAATGACCAATGCTTTCTTCTTTCGCTCGGTAGGTGCATATTTATGACCATGACGGCACTGTGAGTGAGCAGTGATGATTCACATGGTGTGGATGGATGAAGCGATGGGCCTGAAACCAGAAACGTGAGCGATTATCAATAATACTTGCGCATAACATGAAGGAACTGAACATATTCGAACGAGGAAAACCTTGCTGCTGACAACAAAACAAACGGAAACAAATGTCAAAGAGATGTGTGTGTGAGAGGTCAAGACTCAACCTGCAACCAAAAAACTATTGACCTACCCTTTTCGAAAATGAGTGGTGCAAATACATGTAGTACCAGTTGAGCGGCCAATGAATGCCCTAATAACCATCGATCAAAACGCGCTTCAGTGGGAGCTTCGTGCATTAAGTATTCGAGAAGTGCAGATGAATCGCTGTCACTGAGCCCATTTCGGTTAGCATAGACCGACACAATACGTTCTAGTGCCTGCGATAAAAAGAATAGAGCGTATACAATTCTTGTAAGAAAGTAGAGGGTTTACATCAAGGAAACAATTAGACCTCCGAACCAACCTTCCCTGTAGTGCCAAATAGTCTTAGTAAGGTTGCCGATTGTGAACTTGCGTCACCGAGCAGTCCATCAGCCAAAAGAAGCAAATTCGAGAATGAGCACCGACCTCCGTCCTCCACCACGTCGAACAATAAGGAAGTTATGGGTTGGAGCTCCGAATAAATTTCCTGAAAACGTACAAGCGCTAGCGGATCAGTTGACCAGGGGTTAGCAGAAAGCGTGGGAGATGTAAGTCAGACTCTTCGAGCGTGACTGTGCAGTGCGGTAGCTGTCGCGTAAGAACAATCGCAGAATTCAACACAAACTGAGCGCTCACCCAAAAAGGTTGGGTAATCAAGGTGAGGCAAAGATTAGAAAAGAGTATGACTGGAGTGACGCTTGGGGTGGTTGAAAGGCCCAACGGAGACTTTCGTGGAAGTTCGAACCAGGGTCAGCCATCGCGTTCGCACTTTTCTAGAAATTTTGCGACACCCCACTCTCTTTTGGAGATCTCGACGCGAAAGAAGAGCGGCAAATCCACTAATTTTGCCTTATTTACCCTGCTTTCATGAAACTTGCGCCAAACTCATCGAAAACACCGTCTATTACAACCCCTTTTGCAGTCCCCGTTCACACTTTTTTCAGAGGTGGTTGACCGTGCTCAACCCCAGATGCGACCCCCTTCCCAAAATCGCGAATGCGACCCTCGCTCTAATACTGCGAAAGGCTGGACCCTGGTTCGAACGCTCTTTATCGAAACATGATAAAGTCATTATCTAAAGATTACTGAACTAACGAGAAATTCAATAGAGAACAGTTGACTCTTTAGTGAACTCAAATGTATTTCAGTACGCTCCACAATTCGCATACACGCAGGGCGTTAAGACAGAACTTGCAAATCTGCGAGAGGAGGTAGATACGTGTCGTTTAGAGGCAGCGATTACGTAAGCTTCCAGAGAGGTATCCAGGGGATGGGAAGGGGGTGCTCAAAAGTACCCAATGGCAAGAAAAGCAGAGAAAGCCATCAGGACCCCCGTGTTTGGCTACTGATTTCTCAAGAACGGGCAGCGGTCAATACGGTAAACGTAGGGATAAATTTACCGTGACCGTTTGTTGGCACGATACCAATCCATGATAAAGTCAAGTTGCTCCAGTTGCGCCGCTGCTAGCAACACAACTCCTCCAAATCACCAACGAAACTAGTGGGCGGCACACTTTTGAGGCGGAGCGCTTTAGATGTCCTGGGGCATATACTTCTCCCATGTGCTCCCTTTATCTTCTCCCTTTATCGTAATTGAGCTATCTCGTAACTTGGCGTCGGTCAAATTTTGAAATCAATACTATAATAAATATCGAAGGCAATCAAACTGATACCACGGTCAAATCTGACAGCTACCTATCTACCAAAAAAGCGCTAAAGGAAGGCGAGGGGGTTCAGGGTACGACGTTCATACCATTACATATCATTTACGTCTCAAGTGTACTGCTGAACTGCCTAACGCTCTTTTGTGGCGCGCATCCCTCCACTCAAAGGGTAGAACCTTCTGCCGCTGAAGACGATTATTCAGACCGAACATTATTCCTTTACATGAATGTTTCACCTGACAACATCGTGAGGCACAAGAAATTTAAGAAACATACCAACAGCTGAGGTTGCAAGAAGAGAGAATTTGAAGAATTCAATAATACTTCCCTCATCGCTTTAGCAGAAATTTCACTTGTTCTCGATTAGGAAACGAGACAGAGAGAGGGAGAGAGAAAAGGAGCTGCATGCGGTCAAGGTACGGTTAAATGAATATGGAGCTACTCACCTGAAACTGATGTTTGTTCAGGAATTCTTTCCCACTGACGTGTTTCTTTAGTAATTCAGTAGCTCTTCGAACTTGTTCTTTGGTTAGACTGACAATTTCGGGTTTCTTCGCTGACGATGAAGATTCTGCTCCCATGCTAAACTACGACTTCGGCTAACATACAGAAGCAAATAATAATTCATGACAAATTGTGCACAACTGATAGGTAGATGGAGTATACACATATTGAACAATGTTTCTCTTGATAATACATTTATTATGAGTAGAAAAAGGCAAATATTGGCTGCAAAAATGCAAAAAGTGACAAGCTTGTTATTGATAAAAGCGCGGACAATTGCCAACCACAACCGAAAAATAGGTTATGGAGCCATCCAAACCAAAGTAGATCAGTTCATAGGGTTATGTGCGTTACTGATAAATAGGAATATTAAGGTTGTTGCTGTTCTATCTGATTCTGAGACATGACATCAGAGATGTTCTTCTCGAGATCATCGATGCGCTTTGTCATGTCATCGATACGGCGAATTATTTGATCAGACATGTGCTGGAATCTGTCCTGAGTCTGCTGTAATACTCCTTGGATCTAAAATGAAGAAAGATTACAAAAATTAAAAAAAAACCGGATCGATGAATGCCTTATGGAATATGCACCACATTCTACCTCCACTCAAATAGCGGAATTTGACTGCGGCCTAGCCTGAGGAACAACTTGTGTGTGCTCTATGTATGAGTCACTAATTTCACCCTCACAGACGAGCCCCGTAAAAATTAGTGAGGTAATGGGTGATTGGCTTCAAGAGTGTTAGGATCCGGTATGGTCCTTGATAGCGCATACGGTAGTTGAAGAGCAAACAGAAAATAAAGGATAAAGCATTTGCCGTTGATCAATCCCTTTTTGGGATGCGGCACGCATTCTACTTCCATTTGTACATTCGTAGTGGCGTTTGAATGCGATGTGGCCTATACAATGACTTGCGGGGGCCAGCCGATGTACAAGTCAGTGTTTTTATCCTCCCAGACAAGTCTGGTACCAATTAACCGACCCCGGACCCCGGAGGGATGGCTTGGTTGGCCGGGCGACTCACGACCCAGGATTTGATCCCCGGACCGCTCGCGTGGTAAGCGTGCCACTTGCCACTACACCACTTCCGCCCTGGTCGTGAGTCGCCCGGGCCAACCAAGCCTTCCATCCCTCCGGGGTCGGTTAATTGGTACCAGACTTGTCTGGGAGGATAAAAACACTGACTTGTACATCGGCTGGCCCCCGCAAGTCATTGTATAGGCCACATCGCACTACGAATGTACAAATGGAAGTAGAATGCGTGCCGCATCCCAAAAAGGGATTGATCAACGGCAAATGCTTTAATGCCAACGCCACTACGAAACAGAAAATAGAAGCGTTTTTTTTTTCAGGGAAGGCCTGGAGGCCGTCGGGGAGTCCTTGGATCGTATTTCGGTCTGGAAGAAGGGGTCATAGTTTGGTCCGCATAAGAATCGTATTAGATATTCGAATTTTCAGGAGTATTTTCGAATCAATAAACTAAAATTGAATGGGAGAAGGAGATGCGAAGAGTCATTTTTGGAAAAATACTGAGCATATTTTCGATTTTTAAAATTTTCGAAAACGACCGAAAAAAATGACAGAAAATTCGGACTTTTTCGAGTTTTGCTATAGCACATACTCTCCCTCCTCCTATGGCGAATTTATCAAACGGAATTGAAGTATAGATGGGGCTAAAAAGGGTATGTGTAGGGTACGAAGTGAGTTGAGGTGTGGGGCTCTAGCTCTAGCCACTTGAAGATTGTGTTGGCCACCAACTTTACTTGGTATGTGGTATACGCTGACCTATCCCTAACTTTTGAGGTTGCTGTGCCACTTTGAACTAGCGCTATCTACGCCCGACTCAAAACGACTGCGTATACCAATCATAGTAATAACGTACGTAGTTGTGCCGCATTTTCGTGGAGATGATCCGTCAGCAGCTTCAAGAGCCGGAAGTAATCTTATAAGTAGAGGGCTCTTCCAATACGAACGCTCTAAGAGCACAAAAGTAGGATTAAGGGTGCGACAGTTCGTGGCATCTACAGTAATTCCAATATTTGACGAAGAAGAAATACATAGTATAATATGTGAACCATTTCTACACCCACCCCGTTGCTCCTTCTTTTGCGAAATTACTGCAGGCGTCACAAACCGTTGCACCACATGCCATTCCCTCATTGTCAAGGATCCCTTATTTATTCCCAATCTGTAAGCTTTTCCACCAATGTACTCATCTACATTATATGTACCCTACACAGGGTACCGGACAGGAGGCTCGTCGCGCGAAAAGAAGGCAGAACCAGCAGACGAGTCGTAGCGCACGATGTGCGATGTAGGACGTACAATGGTACATTCTATTTAACTTGAACGCGATCATCACAGTACGCGCTGCAACTCGTCCGCTAACTCTGCCTTGTTGTCGCTCGACGGGCCTCTTGTCCATATCCCTCTACACTATTCATTATCTAGCTCAAAAAATACCCCAAAAACTCACCAAGGAAGTCAGTTCGTTCAGATTGGTGACTTCACCGCCTATTGAGTCTGACGTGAGTGTAACATCTGTTTTCTCGGACGCCATTTGCTGAAGGAAAACATTACAATGATTGAGTTTGAAAAGTTGTGGAAAATAGCTATGGAAAAGAGTGTCAATGATCCATCGAAAATGGCAACACAAATTGAAAGGAGACAGGAAATAATTGATAGGAGGCAATTACTAACAAGCACTTGGTTGCACGCTCGACACACTGATAGCGTGCAAACAACAAGTCGTCAGTCACAACAACAAACTGGTTTGCATATTCCAATCCAATTCTTTCACAACGAACCGCATCTTTCACATTGCACAACATAAATCGAAGAAAAACGGAGTTATTTGAACACTTCGATGGTTTGCCTCATTAATGAGAATAATAAACGATTTGCAAGTTCGAGCTTCAATGAGATAAGGGGTTACACTTTTGAGTGACAGCTTGATATTCCCGAAGGTCTTGAAGGCAAAACGTCAAAAAGTTAGCTTGACTGAACTGCTAGCACTATTTTAGGCTATAATGCCACAAGCTACCCAAACGTACGACCCAGCAAAAAGAAGTAATACCGAGAGACTTGCAAACTACATGAGCAAGTACCGTTTCTTCAGATAGGTGACGTATCCTATCCATCCGCTAGGCTAGGGGAAGAAAGAGTCCTTTGAATTTATTTGTTTTCGACGAAACTGTTCCCTTACTTTCCGCACTTGTTTGCTTTTACACACATATATACATTACAAATATGCAGTTTCTCAGGGCGATTTTCGTTGGAAAGACAAAGAAAATTTGAAGTTTTTGTTTTCCTAACTTAGGAGAAGGATACGGACCAAGGGCCGGATTCAATCATCCCCGAAGGGTTGGGGGACAAAAACTCCTTTAAATTTATTTGTTTGAACGATATAGTTTCTTCATTTTCAGTGCATGTTTACTTTGACCTACATACATACATTAAATGTAGGCCCTTTATCAGGACAATCCCAGTTGGGAAGACAGAGAAAATTTAAAGGCATTTTCGTCCCCCAACTCCTTAGAGAATTGAGGGGGCCTCAGGAAGGGTCGCTTTGAGGCCAATGTCAGGCTTTCGAATCCAACGATGTTGAATTCGCAAAGTCTGACATCGGCCTGACAGAGAACGACTTTTCGCTTTCCGCAAATTTTTTCGCTGCGGGAAACCCTGGTCCACACCTGCCGATTTTGGCTCCCGCAGCGGAAAAGCTTCGCGTTGCAAAAGCGAGAAGTTGCTTTCTGCCCTAGCGACCCGACCCACATCATTTCAGTTATTGAGAGGAGCTAGCAAATTTTATGTTTCCCAATATTACCTGTAGTAGACTCATTGTCGTCTGTTCTGTTCGTCTATATTCTCGAGGCTTAGGCTGCGGTGCCATTGTATTTCGAAACTGCTACGTGCGGCAAAATAATAATGGCCCCTAAGCCTTGGAGGTGCGGACGAAACGTGCCGCGCTACCACGTGGTAGTTACTAACCATGTTAGCCGAAATGAGTTCATTCCATTAGGGGAGAGGTGCGCATCGGGTCAAATATAGTTTCTACCAACTACAGAAATCCAGTTTCTGCAGGTAGCACAAAATAGTGCACCGAATGACCCTCATTATTGAAAACACCCAAGAAAATAATTCACGAAATATGTCTAGAGCTCATTCCAGTAATGGGGGGGGGGGGCACTGCGGTGCACAGTCTTCCTCTGATACCAGTTTAGCTCAAGGAGTCTTCTGAAATAACGAATTGCTTCAGCTTTATTCCTGCGTCGTTTTGGCTCCCCCACTTTCTTCACACTTTGTGGCGCAGCCGCGGAGATTGGCCGAGTTGATAGTGCCCGCTAAAGCAGCTTTCATAGTTTGCGGACCGCGCGGACAGGGTGAAAAACATCAACACGCACTCTGGCGCACGATGCGTTCTTGGCGCGCAGTCGGCGCCTTCCTCGATCGATAATCCTAATTTCAAATATTTTTTCTTTTTTGACGTTGGGTGCCGCTTTGCTTTCAGTTGCGCTTGTTTAGCTCAAAACTTTTCTTTCTTGTATGGATTGCTGCTTTTGCTTACTAATGAAGTCACCTTTGGCTTACTGCCACTTTCAAACACTGTATGAACCTAACCATTCTAGGACAGTTGAAAAGCAATGATTCACACGAAAAAGAAAAAGATTCTCGCCAAAAAACACGTGCAAGAAGCAACACGGCACGTGGAACACTTGAACAACAAAAATAGAATGTAATGAGACCGAATTTATCGATCGGAAGGCGCCGACTGCACGCCGAGTACGCGTCCTGTCCGCGCGGCCGCACGGAGCACAGACCAGACTATGAAAGCAGCCTAATTGTGCTGATGGAGCGCTTTTCAGATTTACCCGCACAGTTCGCGGGCACTACCGACTCGGCCGCGCTCGCCGCGGCCACATCCCAAAAGCCGATGTCATAGTTTGCGAACCGAGGGATTCGCTGGATCCGAGCGTTGCGCCAGCGAATCGGACTTTGTGCAAGTGACTCGACTGATGCACCAGCGAGTCGAACTATGTACCAGCGACTCAATGGCCGGACGCATAGTCGGTCGGACGACAGCAACGATCGCAAGTGTCGCACAGCATTGGGTGCGTATCGATCTGCGACACATGCGACACTTACGACCGCTGCTGTCGACGACAGCAACGATCGTAAGTGTCGCAGATCAATACGCAGCTACTATTCCACACTACAGTGGGACTTTCGAAATACGATCACGCGCAGTCACGTGTTGTCTGGGTTAGCATTGGGTGACCGCGTCGCCTTCCATTTGCAACCGCGGTTTATGCGACACTTGCGGTCGTTGCTGTCGTCCGACCGACTATGCGTCCGGCCAATAGTGGCGGGACCCAATGTTCAAAGGAAGTCCCGCCACTTTCAAACAGCATCCGCTGTCAAGAGACACTGCTTAAAAGAGGCGGGACTTCCTTTGAACGTTGGGTCTTGCCACTATTGAGTCGTTGGTACATAGTTCGATTCGCTGGCGCAACGCCCGATCCAGCGATTCGCTCGATTCGCAAACTATGATTGGTCAGAGAGTGCAAAAAGTGGGGAAACCTGTTGTTTCCTCTGGTATTACATAATGTATAAGCTCTTGTGTATCATGACATAAACTTCTATTAAAACTAATATTTACCTAATGATCAGCTAGGACTAAATTGAAGAAGGGCGGGGAAGTTCAAACGGAGAAAACAAGGACTGCTCACGAACGGGACTTTTCCCTCACTCCTAAAGCTTAGTCGTGACCTTTACACTAGGAGTATGCTATCCGTGGTTTTAAACACGTTGAGCAGTAAACCGCATGCCCCCTTACTGGAACATACCCTATGCCAACAAAGTAAGCGATACCAGAGCAGGGCCGGGTGCAGCAAGCACCCAACTAGGTGAGCGGGATCCCAAGTTGGGGCATCCATCCCAATGGTTGTGGGGTCATTTCCCCTCGTTGGGGTGAGGGAGGGATTCCCCAAAGGTGGGGCACTCCCTCCCCCGTAGTTGGGCTTGACTGCCATCGCCATGCCCCACGATCAGATCCCGCGAGAAAGAGGGAGGTGGTATCGGAACAAAATAGATAATCTATAATGCACTATGTATAGCCACTAGGAAATTTTAGCTAATCTTCAGCAAACGACTTGCCTATTCCAGAAAGAACTGCAAGTAGCTTAGTTTGCTGCAGAAGGAGATGATGCGGTTGCAGAAGTAACATAAAAAAGCACATGTAATACCGACTTCTCCAGCCAATATGCTAACTGGTCTGCAATCACGACATGCCCTGCCACGGGAAAGAGTATTTTGATATTTGAAGCGAATGTCCTCGTTCTTCGATGCATGAAAACTCAAAGGACTAGTTTACTGCCAACGACTAAGAAAGCGTCGAGCAGAGCGTTACATTTAGACCGACGTCATAGTCGGCGACGGACCAAGCGATGGAGCGATCGCGATCGCTCCATCGCTTGTCCGTCGCTTGCCAATCGCTCTCGGTCGAGCGATTGGCAAGCGATTGCGCAATCGCTTGCAAAGTGCACAAGCGACGGGCGATTGGCCCCGCCCCCAGTCAATGCAGTCGGCTGCGGTATCGATCGAGCAGAGCCATTCGCCCGTCGCTTGTGCACTTTGCAAGCGATTGCGCAATCGCTTGCCAATCGCTCGACCGAGAGCGATTGGCAAGCGACGGACAAGCCTTGGTCCATCGCCGACTATGACGTCGGTCTTAGCTGGCATGCTACGAACAGATCTGGTATTTGAGGAACGGCAGAAAATTTTATGGCACGCTTTAAGGCACATGATCCGTCGCAGGTCTCGCTGATTTTCGCGATTGGGTGTGGATTCACTAGGACAGAAAGCGACTTTTTCGCGTTTCGCAGCGCGAAACATTTTCGCTGCGGGAACCTCAGGTCCACTCATGATCAGCGGTGGACCTGAGGTTCCCGCAGCGAAAAATGTTTCGCGTGCGAAACGCGAAAAAATCGCTTTCTGTCCTAGTGAACCACACCCTGCGCGATTAACGCGACGGGTCACGGAAAACACAAGTGCCCGATCAATACTGCAAGGTGTTCTCCAATCCTGCCGCCACTTCTGCTTGATAGTGATGGCTGAATGACGACTGCTCATGATTCCACTTGTTTCATATTCAGTGTTTCAAATGTTCAAATGGGCACTTGCAATTTTTGCGATCCGTCGCAGGTTTCGCGCAAATCGCGTGATCGCGAAAATCAGCGAAACCTGCGACGGATCGCGGACTCTGACACCAGCCTAATGCGTCAGGTGTGCATAATTCTACAAGAACTATCGCGGAAGGTTGCTTTAACTATAATTCTGTGAACTTCGATAAATTGGCCGCGTCCACAGCCATCATCTGAGGTGAATAAGGCAAGGGGTAAAAATGAAAAAGACAGCAGTGATTAGAGAATAGGATACAGAGCAGAGTAGGAGAACAGGAGACCAGGGGATATCCTATTCTCACAAAACACTGAATATGAGCGAAATTCAAACGGTGAACAATTTGATTTTAAGAGAGGTCCAGTAGTCGCATTCGCATAA